AATTTCAGCAAGAGAAAGCAAAATGCCAAAGCGATGTTTGATAAAATAAATAATTCTGACAAAAAGAGGCTAATTTGGTTGTTCTGAGATAGTAAAAACTGTGAAAGGCAGATGGTGTTTAATGGTGGTGTTCATTTCAATATTAAAGAAAGGTACATTTGGGGTAACAATATTATTAATGTTTTATCACTTATCCCAGTGACACTGAATAATTTTTCACAGCTAGCCAGGAGACAAGTTCCCTTTACTATTTAGATTGAAAGGAAACTAGTATTTGTGCTCATCTAAGCTAAATATTTAATTGCATTCATAGGGATGTTAAATCTCTGTAAAAAATCTTTTAGGCTAACTACTTTTACTGTTATGGAAAACTTTTTGTTAGAATTTTATTACTACTTGCTTAGCTCTTCATGATAACTATCATAATTACTCAGGTAATTTCAAGTTTGTCTCCTCACAAAAACAATAAATTGAAATAAATATAATACAAAAAAGGTAACAGATTGTTTCCTAATTGGCATTTTTTTTTCATTTTCAAATGCTTCAAAGTATTAGTTTTATTTCACATTCACACACAGAGAAAAACAGAATGAAATGTAAGGTCGCTGTATGAAGCTTAGGTGAAGTGTGGCAGGGCTGCGTGAGAACCGGGTGGGCCATCTCAGTGTCTCAGTCTGCACCATGGAGTAAGCGACATCTGAGCACACTACAATGTCTAAATGCAAGAAGGGAAGACTAAATAAATATATAGAAGAACTTTACGTATATAAGATTCCCGAGACTATGTATTTTTAATGCTCTTGTAAACATTTTTGATTGCTAATGTTTTGGTTTCATTTTTTGCTCACAACTTGTAAAGTTATCATTAAAACTTGAAAACGTGCATTAATTCATATTAGTTGATACAAATAAAAAAATTCAAAAACTTCACAAATCTAAAAGTTTGCTCAAGTTAATATAATCATAAAAGTCAAATTGCATTATTGAAAGATAATGCTGACTTTTTCTCATATCACAGAAGCAGCAGTTGGTTTAAGGACTATCTTAGACTAGACAAGCAATAAGCCCCGAAGTCAATCTTCAGTCTGAATCCACTGCTCCTTCTGCTGGAGCTTCTTGCCATTCTCAGGTTCTCTGCAGGAGCAGGCAGTCTGTGCTTCAGCGCTTGAGGGGGCGAAAGTACCCTGCAGCTGCACCTCCACCTCAGCTGCCTCCGGACTGCCTGCCTCTAGCTGGCTCTGGACCCCCTGCCGCTCTCCCCTCTGGGGAGTTCAGGGATCATCAGAGACTCTGTGTTCTTTCAAGAAGTTTGGGCTTCCTAACTAGAAACTACTGGGGCATGAAAACAAAAGTGATGATTTGAACCAGGTGGAGCTCATCGCTGGGGACACTCACCTGTTAGGAAACGGGGATCTGTCACCCAGTCATCAGAATACACTGCGTACTGGCTCAAGAATCTGCTCTGCAGGTAGCCATTATAGGTACAGAACAGGAACGCTGCCACACATGAATACAGTGGCATTGGCTTTCCTCCTCGAATCAGAAAGGGGAAAATCAAGGACCTTAGAAAAAAGAAACAGAAAAAATGAAAAAAAAAATCATTTCTGCAATTCTAGTTTTAAATGTTTTGGGCTTTTAATCCTACTTCCCTGTACAAATGTCATCCTCAGTAACATTTGTACTGATTTACTGTATCTATCCCCAAAGCAGAATTTTTAGATAAAGAATTAACCATGTTTCAATAATGTACACTACAGTGCACAAACTGAAGAGTCTAATTATATGGAATGTGAGACAGATACATTGAGTGAAAGAAAACTGGAGGCTTCAAAAGGATCTCAAAATTTCCACCTTCCTAAAACCCTCCACTCATTCTAGCCTGAGCACTAGGACTCGGGGCACCCTGCCATATCGTCCATCACCACTGCAATGGCTCCCATTCTCTGAGCACCACCTGCAAGGCCTCCAGCTGTCTGGGCAGGAGATGCAGTTACCCACACTTGACAGAGGATGAAGTTTTAAGACTCAGAGCGATTAAGTAATCTGCTCAAGGTCACAGGGCTAGTGAGCGGCTGAGTTTAAGCGTAATTCTGGGCAAATCAAAGATCATGTTCTTCTGTTATACCCCACTGGTTTAGGTGCACCCTTCTAAAGTTTTAAAGAGAGAAAATAAAAGAACAAGAAATGGGAAACTTATAAAGAAAAAAGGGATACAAAATTTTATTTTGCATTTGAATTTTCTCTTTAATATCAGTGTGTAATACACGGAAAGAGGGGACATCACTACATACCCTTCAGATCTCTGGAAGATCATTAGAAACTCAATGAACAACTTTATGCCAGTAAATTTGACAACCTGGTAAAAGGGATACAAAATTTTATTTTGCATTTGAATTTTCTCTTTAATATCAGTGTGTAATACACTGAAAGAGGGGACATCACTACATACCCTTCAGATCTCTGGAAGATCATTAGAAACTCAATGAACAACTTTATGCCAGTAAATTTGACAACCTGGTGAAATAGACAAAATCCTTGAAAGACACAGATGATCAAACTTGACCCCAAAAGAAATAGACAATTTGAATAGGGCTTTCCTGATGTAAGAAATTAATTTAGATTTATGAGATTCTAGTAAAGGCAAAACTAGATTCAGGGGAGGCGGATTAACTGCAAAGAGGCAGGAGGGAAACTTCTAAGGGAATATTACTGCTTTATAACTTGATTTTGAAATAGAGTTTAGACTTGTAAATGTAGAAAAGGCAAAACAAGAGTTGGAGGCAAAAGAGGACGAAGGGAATTTTATTTTATTTTATTATCAGTGCATACCCATCATGTCAGAACAAGAGAAGTGGGCTTTGAATGTCATGCTTTGAAAGCACAGCGGGGTGTGAGTTGCTGTTACTGAAACAGGTGACAAAGTATTCTTCAGCATGCAATGGCACTAGAGCTCTGTCAAAAGAATGTAACAGAGGTTGCTATCACCAGACTAAGTGCTCATTGCGATATTCCCCACCCACAGAAAAGCAACGGTCAGAAAATTTAGAAATTTAAGACAATCTCGTCACAGAATTTCTTCACAAAGGGAATGAAAATTAGGCTGCAACCAAAGCAAGTTATCAAGTGGTTCATTTGTTTGTGAAGGAAAGCTGTATATCAGTGGTGAGTTCATTAATTGCAGCAGCCAAAGAAGCAT